CTGCACTAGCTGAAGTCGCCGGATGCTCTTCCAGGGCAGCCCCATGTAGAGCACATAGCACGCAGCTAATTCAAAAAGGAATTGGCACGAGGAGTTAATACCCCCCCAGAGACTTGCGGGTGTCTCTGAGGTCCTGGGTCTCTCCCCACCTTCACTGTCGTCTCCTTGTTTTGCTTGTTGATCATCATTAAATAACACTAGATGATAAAAAAATTTACAGCTTTCCCAGTATGAACAGTCTAACTTACAAGGTCTGGAAAAATAACTAACATTTTAAATGACTAACACACTATATAATCACAATGCCACTAAAATATAAAGATTAAGATTGTGGAAACAGTGGTGTAATATACCGCAGTATAAAACTGTGTTATATTTATAACACCTTGGAAAAAGTAGCTAAAGATCAGAATCGGTAACACAAAGATATGAAATTTACTCTACAGCCACTTGTCTGGAATGATTTCTCTAGAAAGGCAGCCACTTGTCACTTGGTATAGAACAGTGATGATGAACCTTTTCAGCACCGAGTGCCCAAACTAGAACGCCCGTGTGCAGAGCCCTGGAAACTCAGAGACCAGAGTGCATGCGCACCGGCCATAGATTGCCATAGGTTCACCATCATGGATATAGGGTCTTCTGCATGAGCAGTGGGTTGGACTAGAGCAGGGGCAGTCAACTTTTTTATACCTACCGCCCACTTTTGTATCTCTGTTAGTAGTAAAATTTTCTAACCACCCACCGATTCCACAGTAATGGTCATTTATAAAGTAGGGAAGTAACTTAACTTTATAAAATTTATAAAGCAGAGTTAAACAGCAAACCCCTACTGCCCACCATGAAAGCTGGAATGCCCACTAGTGAGCGGTAGGGACCAAGTTGACTACCACTGGACTAGAGGACCTCCAAGGTCCCTTCCAGCTCTGTTGTTCTGTTCTGTTCTATCCACATGCACAGGATCCCCATTAGCTGCGTGGCAGCCTCCATGTGACAGCCACCCTTTTTATGAAGAGTAACTCCATGGGACAGTTCCAAGGCTGAGAAGTTAGGTGATGATTTTATAATACAGCCTCCTGAAAGTTTCTTCATTATCAGTCAAAGGACCTATTAGATTGCCAATTCAAAGAAGTGCAGAAAAAAGAAAAAGAGGTGAAAAAGGCTCCACCTCAATTAATTTGAGATGTATTTGTACAGATGGGAAACCATTCAGTTCCTGGAATTGTAATTTCTTCTTACAATAGTGTGCTGGAATAATGCTTAGAAAAGGAATTACCATCCACTTTCGTCAGATACTGAGAATGTGACAGTCCGCAGAATGAGGCAATTCTTGGCTGCAGTCTCTAAAGACAGTGGAGAAAATGCACAACACAAATAAAATTGAGGCTTCACCCTTTTCTTTCCCATCTTTCAGATTCAGTCCTATCAGATCCAAATTGACCCTTCTTGGCCCCAGACAAAGCCCCCTTCAATCCCATCTAAACTAAAGATGAGAAACCTTGCTTACCTGCAGGGGTGGGCTTCAAAAATTTCAGCAACGGGCTCTCTGCCCGGTTGCATGGAGGGCGTAGCTTAGACAGCCTCCTGCACCATGGCGTGGGGATCATTTTCGCCTTCCCCAGGCTCCAGAGGCTTTCCTCAAGCCTCTGGATGGGTGAAAACTGCCTCTCCCAGGCTTCGGAGGAGCTACAAAGGCTGGAAACAGGCCTGTTTCCAGCCTTCCGGAACTTCCAGGAGACCCATTTTCCCTCCCTGAGCCTCCACACAGCCCTGCACTTCCCTTGCATCCAAAATTGTTGGGAATATGGGTCCCAACAACCCTCCCTCCTGTTACTTGCTTATCCCATCTCTTACTTGCTCTGGGGCTGGTTATTATCTCATTAGATATCATTTCATCAATAATCAGGTGTGTGTGTGTGTGTGTGTGTGTGTGTGTGTGTGTGTGTGTGTGTGATGCCCTGCTTTGTATCCCCTAAAGCTGTCTGTTTCTTCAGATAAAATGAAAGGGAGCTGAAATGTTATAAAGGTAACCCCCAGTTCATGATCTAAAACCTGGGGGAAGACCTGAGCAGCAAAACGTCTTGGTCTGTTCCTGGGTCAGGTTTTTAAATGATGGTAGTTTCTGTGTGTCAATTTAGAATAAGAAGTTATTTTACTATATATTTGTATCTGAATTGGAGAATGTTGGGAGTCTCTTTTTTCCTTGTCACTTTTTGACTTTTTCCCCTCTCTCAATTTTTCCATTTCCCATTTCCATTGTTACTTTATATTTTATCTCTTTTTGCAGCTAAAATTGATCAATGGAAATAGTCAAGGATTATGGTAGATGAGAATTGGATAGCACTGACCCTGGCATTTTCTCCCTGGCACTAAGGCAAGGATATTCTTTGAGGCCAGTTTGTATTTTTTAATTATGTCTCAAACCAAGTATTATTTAAGGACTCGGCTGCATTGTATTGCACTACATTTATTTGATTTTGCTCTGTTTTTGTGCCTTTATGCATTGTTAACCACTCGGAGTCACTAGGCTGATGTAGGCAATGAAATAATTGACAGCTATGAAAAACAACTGATGGCCAAAGTGGGAGGGGGTGTCATTATTTTTCTTTTTCCAGTATTTTTCATTCTTTCCCAAAGGGGAGGGAGAAGATGATCCTTGTTAAAATTCTGAACCAGTCATTTGTAGGAGGATATTCTGAAATTAGTAAGATAATTTCTTGCAATTCCAAGAACCATAGTTTGTCCATTGCGATTGAAGGTAGAATATCCCTCCACATTGCAAATATACGTCCCAGGATAATGTTCCAGGATCCAGTCTGAGTCAGTCACTGGGACCAAAGGTTTATTCTTACAAGCTTTTGGGATCATACTGGACCCCATCATCAGGGAACTCAGAGGTGGGTTCCTACTGGTTCCTATTGATTCGGACCGGTTCAAGTAGGTAGTAACTCAGCTTGCCACGCCCCCGAACTGATTCTATTGTCGGCAGCGCCTTCTTGATTTTTGATTCTGCGCATGCGCAGAAAAATCTTCATTGCAAAAATTTATTTTTTCCCCTTTTCTAATGTTCTGCGAATGCTCAAATCTTTTTAGCTGCAAATGCGCACACATTTGCATGCCGAACTGGCAGTGATGCCGGTAGCAATCCACCCCTGAGGGAACTTCCCCCTCTCCAGAATATTTGCACTGGGCTGCTCTAAATGTTCCTGTTAATGGTTCCTGATTGTGTATAGCTTTCAGTTGCTCACTGTGTAGCTTTAATTTTTGTCGGTTAGTGGGTATCAACAAAGCAGCCTGGGAGGCTGAATTTAACTCTTCCCTTTGACATGAAAGCCAGCTGAGTGACTTTGGGCCATTTTCTCTCAGCCTGACTCATTTTGGAGAGTTGCTGTGGATAATATAGGAGTTCGGGGAAATGGTATGCAGCCTTGACTTGTACAAATTAAAGGTGGGATATAAATCTAATATTTTTTTAAAAAAACATCAGTGAAGTGGATATTTCTGTCAGGCCTGGAAGCTACCTTGGGCATTGGATGTTCAGGCCTTTCACATTTAGTGCTGTGGAAAACTGGGAGGGGGGATTGCATGGAGCTGGGGAGATATATAGTCAAAATAATATTCCTTTCTCTGAGAGTCAAGGCCACTCTGCCCTGCACCTTTAGGGGTGTGTCTGGGGAGCATCTCCAGTTAGGATGGTGCATTGATTGGGACACATGATGGACCTGCGTGTGCTGGGGCAGGGACTTTGACTTTCTTTTGGGTGGAGAAAACCTGGAAAGTTTCAGATTCGGGTTTTTCCCAGATGTGCCAATGTGACATCTCTAATGAAATGGAACTTTGAGGAATGCCTAGCCTCGAAGTCTTCATTTGTTGAGGGTGTTACTTGAAACCCTGACAGTTCCATGATGAAGATAAGGTGGGGACATCAGTATAATGAATAGGATTCCCTCACCACTTCAGATAAGTTGCATATATAGTTATCACTTTTCTTAATAGGTCCATAGCGAACATTGAGGAAGTGAGACTGAGACTTACCCACACACCTTGAAGTTCTTGCTCAGGTAAGGTTCACTGTTGCTTTGATTTCAGCCTTTTCATGCATCTGAGCCAAGACAAGCAGGAGGCAACCCACATACAGTTCCAAAGATTTCTGTACACAACATTAAAAAAAACACAGAAAGAGCTTCAAAGCTACATTTCTCTTTCAGATCCACACTGCAGCACAGCCTGAGAGAGACAGGGCAGTACCTGGGATATGCATCTTTCATTACACTACACGGTGTGTCTCCACTGCACAGATCTTTCTCCAGCACGTAGCCCTTTCATACACAATACATACAAACAGATTTGAAATGCGAGGAGTCATCAGTTTGCCTTCAAGATAGTTAAACTCTCCCATCACTGGAAGATTTTGTCTCTCCTCTGAAGGATGTTGCATTATTAAAAGCCACTGCTCTGGGTAGGACTGCAACACCAAATGCAACATTGAAATAACCACTGCAGCGCTGAAGATCTGAGGGTCTGGCCTCTTTGTTTCTATCCTCAAAGCCCATTTCTTTTGTTCTCTCGAGAGAAATCGCCCACTTACTCCTTCAACAATGTTTCTGCAGAAATGGTCGGCACTTCTTCATTTCACTTTCTATTTAAGGGCACCTGTGAGCTTTTTCTTTCTCCAAGGTAAGTTCATTTTCTTTCATTTTTCTCCATCTTTCTGGCAGTTTTCCCTCCCCACCCACCCATTTAAATTACCTTTGTAATTTAGTTTCAGCCCTTTTAACCCCATTGCATGCATTTGGAAAGAAACCATTTCTATATGCTTTTAATATCTGAAACCTTGTTAAGTAGGATGACCCACATATTGTTAAGGCTCTTTTGTTACCAAAGGGGGGAGGGGGAAAATACTTGATTTTCATCCTTGAGAAAGCGTACATGGGCTTTCCTAGCTCTGCTGCAATTTCATTGAAGAAAGTATTATATTTACTGGAAAAAAGTATAAATTATGAACTATTTCAGAATGAGTCGTATGATGTTGGGAGGCAGTGTTAGTCTGTTGGTTTCTATTTCTACCATGCATATTGACTTGAAGAATGATCTGTTTGGACAGTGGCTGGCTCGGGAATAAATCCTATGGAATTCAGTGGAATTTACCTCTGAATAAGGTAATGAGACATCTGGCTGAAAATGCCATTTTGTGAATGATTACTATGAGTGGAGAAAGTTAAACACAAGGATTAAGAGACTCCCACACCAAAATGTTCCAGTTTGATCCCAAAGCCTTGGCAATCTTTATAAGCAAATTGTTACAGCCCCCCCCCCNCTAGTAGATCATTCAGCAAAGGCTTATTCCTATGAATTAAGCTGATGTTCTTAATACAGGTAGTCCTCAACGTATGACCACAACTGAGCCCAAAATTTGTTTTGCTAAGTGAGAAATTTGTTAAGTGAGTTTTGCCTTATTTTGTGACTTTTCTTACCATATCTGTTAAGTGAGTCACTGCAGTTCCTAAGTTAGTAACCTGGTTGTTAAGTGAATCTGGCTTCCCCATTGACTTTGCTTGTCAGAAAGTTGCAAAAGGTGATCACATGACCCAGGGACACTGCAATCATCATAAATTTGAGTCACTTGTCAAGCTTCCAAATGTAAACCACATGACTATGGAGAGTCTGCAACCGTCCTAAGTGTGAAAAAAGTCATAAGTCACTTTTTTCAGTGCTGTTGTAACTTCAAATGGTCACTAAGTGAACTGTTGTAAGTCGAGGACTACCTTTATAGAGGCAGGGCTATAGGGCAGACTGTAGCATAGTGAAAACCAGCAGTGAGCTTCTGAGCCTTGCCATGCACTTGGAAAGCCATCTGGAAACCTATGAATTCCCATGTTGCCTGATCTCATGTTTATTCAGAAGTAGATTCCTTGGGGGTAACAAGTTAAATTTCTGGGTGCAGTATTTTCACTCCTAAATTTCTATTAGCAGTATACTGTATTTATTCAAGTTAACCACTTTAATCTGTCGCTATCTTCTAGTTCAAGTTTTTAAAAGGTGATTTATCTTGAATGCTGCTGACAATCCATGTTTCTTCATTTTGCTACTGGACTCTATGTTCTGAAACTGTAATCAAATAATCTGGTAGCTTCTGTTGTTCAGCAGCAGTTGGCCAAAACAGCATGCTTTTCTGAGCTGCTCTGTTCCTTCATCAGCAGACTATGGCAAATAATGTGTCCTTATCAATTAACTCAGGGTCAATTCTTTTGACTTCCCCTCAATTTTTGGTCCATTTTGCCTCTTTCATTCAATCTGAGCCAAACCACTGCAAGGTAACAAAAACACTTACAAACATAATTTTCTGTCGATGTAGTCAAGCATATTGTTATTGCTAATGGATAGAAAAAGAAAAGGACAGCAAATGGTTCTTAAAATTACCCCTGTCTTTAACTGTTCCTATAGTGCCTGGTAAATAATGGTATAAGTAACAGCAGAGTTTGCTGCTGTCAGAAAGGTCCCTGACCTGCATTTTAGCAAGTTTCTTTTATTGCAGAAGATTGTTCTGCTCTCTAAAATTGCTTGGCTTCCATCTACTTCTCTATCAATATTATCCCTTGCATTGTTGCTTGGCTCTCTCTCCAAACATTGTTTTAGACAGCAAGCCATCTTATCTCAAATATACTAGAAATTTTCAGAGTACCATGGAAATATTTATTTACTTAGTGCTGTCAAAAACATGTCAAAGTAGTAAGTTATACTAAAATATGCACCTGATATTTTCCTCTTTTGCATTGCATGCCAAAGATTCATTGAGCCACGTGCATTTCCCTGGCACAAAATCACTTAGAGAAATGGTAGAGACCATCTACCATTCCCAAGAATGTCTGGACTTCATTGAGAGTAGGAATGGTACAAATGAACAATTAATGGGACTCTCTTGGATATTGAATTGGGAGCAGGGCTTCAAATGGTGACCCAAGCACAGCACCTCCCTGCTGTTCATTGAAGCATCATGAATTTTAAAGCTTGTAAAAGGTTACTATTTCCTCAAGAAGTTAACATTATTATTTAAGGTAAAGGTTCCCCTTGCACATATGTGCTAGTCCTTCCTGACTCTAGGGGGTGGTGCTCATCTACGTTTCAAAGCCGAAGAGCCAGCGCTGTCCGAAGCCGTCTCCGTGGTCATGTGGCCAGCATGACTAAATGATGAAGGCACATGGAATGTTTTCACCTTCCCACCAATGTTGGTTCCTATTTTTTCTCCTTGCATTTTTACATGCTTTCAAACTGCTAGGTTGGCAGAAGCTGGGACAAGTAATGGGAGCTCACTCCTTTACGCGGCGCTAGGGATTCGAACTACCGAACTGCTGACCTTTCTGATTGACAAGCTCAGCATCTTTTTTTTTAAAATAAATGTTTTTTAATTTTAGTTTAAAACGGGTACAGCATCTTTCTTTACATCTGTAGAAAATGTATCAATCAATTACAGATAAGTTTTGGTACATCTCCTCCACAGTCAACCAACATAACTCATATTAACTNTGATCCCAAAGCCTTGGCAATCTTTATAAGCAAATTGTTACAGCCCCCCCCCCCTTTTTTTTTTTTTTAGATTTAAAGAAAAAGTTCACAGCCCCTTCTTTCAGCTATGGTTGTCTACATTTTACTAGCCTATGTCTTTAAAATGTCTGACAACAACAGTGTAATCAGGAAAGGTTTCTGTTGCGGGGGATGGTAATTGATGGGGGGAGGGAGGGAAAATACCTATTCAGTTTGATCAAATTAGACAACTTTTTAAAATGTGTGTGCAAGCCAGATGTAAAGCGTATGGCAACATCTCTTATGGTCATGCTTACAATCAGTCCTTTGTCCAGCCATTGGTCCAGAACAACATAGGGGAACTTTTGATTTTAGTTCTTGTCCTTTTGTCAAGAATAATCAGTGGACAGAAAATTCTCCCCCTGTCCTTGTAGTTTTAACAAGAAAATAGCAGATGCAGTGTTTAATGGGACAGCTGTTAATTCTCGTACTCTGTGGATCAAGAGGCATGATAGTGCTGGGCAAGTACTATCCCCCCGCTTTAATGCAAACATGGAATTGAGAGAAATCTCCCTCAGATTTGGTCCACAGAAGTTTGCACAGCTGTACCTGATGCTGCTGTGTCTGCATGTGGACCAGAGTTTCTTTCTTTTGGGAACTTTAAGATGTGCGGACTTCAACTCCCAGAATTCCTTAGCCAGCTAATTCTTCCAAACATAATCCAGGGAATTCCCCTCTGTGACATGGCCAAAGTAAGTGAGATGCAGTTTTGTGATTTTTGTCTTTTAGTGACATGTCTGGTGTTGGCGCTCCTCTCCAATACTTGCTTGTTAGTCCAAAACAGGGCTGTCAAACTCATGGCCCATAGGCCAGATGCATCACGTGCTGGCCACGCCCATGCCTGGTTTAGCAAAGGTGGGAAAAGTCACGATACGTCACGTGATGCCGCTGTGACAATACATGTTTGACACCTCTGGTCCAAGGAATATGCAGGAGTCTTCTCTAGCACCACAACTCAAATGAATTGATTTTCTTCCTATCTTGCTTTTTTAAGGTCCAACATTCACAACCATAGGTTTAGACCAATAGACTCTTGCAAATCTGGTAGTACATTTCTCCCCAGGTTGCTTCTTTCTCAAAACCTAAGAAACAAGGGGAAGGTCCCTTCTGAATTGTTTGCCACACCCATGTTCTTGTTATGGGCTAAGCTACCTCTTATCATACCATTCCCCTGGCTGTGACTTTCCCACTGTCTTCCAATGTCATTCTCAGATACCATTACATCTTGTTAAATCAATACTCATCTGCCTTCATATTCTATTCATAAGACAGGCAGCACACAGCAACCAATTAAGCCTCTGTTAAGATGCCCAGAAACAAACCAGGTCAGTCATTTCAGAAGCCTGTTGGACAAAAGTGAAACTGTAAGTGTTTAAGTATTCCAGGGTTCAGCACTGCCCTCCTGGCCTCACACCAAAAAGGGCAAACAGATAGCTCTCAATTTTGCTGCTTAAGCATGACTATGGTGAATATATATCTGATGGTTTTCTTAGCTACCTTTTTTAGATTATAAAGGAGTACATCAATTTGGCTAAAGCAGGAGATAATGACATGCTGGGATTTCCAGCTTATGTTGTCCTACTTTTTCAAGCACTGCTTTAGCACGTGTATTTCTAGGAAAGGCAACTTTAGTTGGAAAGAAAAATGAACGGTGACCATGTCATCTATGTAAAGCAATATGGAATGAGTAACTGTCTAGTAGTGCAGTTAGAATATATGGTTATAATATATACTGTATAGATATAGTTCTTACAAGGTCCCTGCAATATCTCGATATGGAATCATCCATACTTTTGCCTAGGATACTTCATTCCATTCCCCTTGACTGTTGTTTTCTCCCAAAAGTCACTCAAAATTTCATAAATACCAAAAATGCTCAGCCTTCACTAGGTTTGTTTATGGGAAGATTCATGTCTATTCTCCTTGTGTCTCTCCTCCTCATCCAGGGGTGAAATCAATTTACTTCGCTTACCGGTTCACAAATGTGAACACACATACCATCTCCGTACATGTGTAGGATCTTCCGTGCATGCACAGAGAGTCAAAAACGGGAGGTGATGACATCTGGGTATGTGAGTGGAGCCTCCCACTGCCACGACTACTGGTTTGCCTGAACCGGATCGAAGCAGCTGAAGAGCACCATTGCCCCCACCCCTATAGGATCTGTTTAGTTTTCTATTGCAAATTTTAACAATAACTCTCTTTTCTATGAGGTTGCCTGGGGAATTCTGGGAATTCCAGACATCTTAAAATTGCTAAAGTTGAGAATACTCTATAGATGTTGCATTGTTTTCTTCCTCTTTGTCCTATAGCCTTGTCTATCAATTGAATCTTACATTCTCTTTCCTCCAAAATGTCCAGTTCTGTATTGAGAGAGAGAAGAATCACTTTGAATTTGAAATATTTATTCAGCTATTCTAAATATGTTTCCTTTGTTCCTTTCCCTTTGCTGAATTAAAGTGCTGCTTTAGCCACACTTCCCAGCAGAAAACAAAATTTAATGGCCCTATTGCTGATCCTTCTTCTGCTTCTGTTGTGCCCCACTCTGACAAATTGCCAAATGGTATCATCGTGATTTTGCACACACTATCCATAATATGCAATGTGACTGGTTGATTTCTTCTGTTTTGCTGTTTTTCCTGCACTGCATATCACTAGCCAATGGGGAGAAATATCCACCAATCATAGTACTGTAGCAGGTTTGGAATGTATCTTGCTTCAGGAGTCTATGCTCCCTGCCTGTCGTCCTCCACCCTTTTCTGTCATAACTAGCTAAATAAGGTGTTTTTTTTAAAAAAAAAAAATCTGATCAAAGGGAGCTAAATCAGAAGCAGAACTTTGAGGCCTTCCTTGCCTTGCTTCAGTGTGTAACTTATGGGCTTCTGGGGGCTTGTAGTAAAACCCTTGGACTTCAAGTGTCTGGGAAAATAATAAAACAATGCACTCTAGAGTTTGCTGTTGCTGATTTGTAAAGCAGAGAAAAAAGGAGGAAAGTCAGAGAAGGTGGGGGATCAATTAAATAATTAAAAGGCATTTTTAGGGGTTCCAAAATCAGAAAACCTCTGTTTACAAAGCAAGGGTTGTATCACTTGTGCACTGAATTCATGGTGACAGAAAGTACAAAAATGGGTTGGAAACAGACAGGAGTGAGATTCAGCCAGTTCAAACTGATTCAGGTGAATCAGATGTTAATTTTATTCTGGTTCGCTGAACCGGTAGTTACAAGGACTGGCTGATCCCGCCCACCCCACCGCAACCATTCCAGGAGTCTCCACGTGGCTAGTTCATCATGCCAGGTAAGTGTAGGGCCCGCAGGGAGGCTCTGGGAGGGTGAAAAATGGGCCTTCCGGAATCACTGGAAGTCCAGAAACGGTCTGTTTTCAGCCTCCATTGAGCCTCTGAAACCCAGGGAGGCTATTTTCAACCTCCTTAAGACTCGAGGAAAGCCTCCAGACCCTGGGGAGGGTGAAAATGCCCCCTTGCTGCCGTGATACAGGAAGCGGACCAAGTTATGCCCCCATGGCCACACCCACCCAGCAACCAGGCAGAGAACTTGTTGCTAAAAAATTTCAATCCCACCCCTGGAAAGAGACCACTAAGAAGTTTTTTTTTTTAATTCCATATATGTGCATGCTTATACTTTAACTTTGTTTATACAAATGCAAAGAGCAGCTTAAACAGTAACCATAGATACGCCTCAATTTAGGCTTTCTCTCCCTTGTTTTCCTTTCTGTAGGCAACCAAAGCTAACTTCCAGGAGAGAATGGGATGCATCCCATCCATAATTTCTCTTTTCACCTCTTCAACTTTGGGCTAAACTCAGAAGGGCTATAGGGTAAAACGCTTGAGCATTGCCACTGCACAGTTTTAATGGCACAGCAATTGCTGTGTTCAATTGTGTGAGAGGTGGAGAGTCTCTAGGGACACACGGGAGTAGGCGGGGGATGCCTGAATTCATCTAAAATAGCCAACAAGCCCTGATTTAACAATCCCACCCACAACTGATCACCTGTCTTTGCAAGTCTTGCCCATTTTGCAACTGTAAAGTTGGGCAGATGGCCAGCAAAGGAGGAAAGCTGGAGGTAAATGGGCAGAAGTGGAAGCCCGGAGGAGAAGGAGGTGTGGCCAAGGATGGGAGCCTGAAGGTGCCGTTCTGGAAAGCACGACATCAATAGTGACCCAGCTGAGGACACTTTAAGGCAATCTCATTCGTGGATGAAATGAGAACACCATCGTTGAGATAATGGATAATAGGATATTGCTTGTACCATGATTGCACATAGCATGCACTTACAGTGCAAGTAAATTTTTTTAAAAAAACCTTTGCTTATTTGAGAACATTTTTTTATGCTGAAGGGAAGGCCTGCAGTATGTCTTCCTTCAAAATGATGTTTGATAGCATCCTAAAATCCATCCTCCCAAAGACCATTTGCATTTATCTCCACACTGCTTGGCAGCTCAGCAATATACATATAGGTAGTCCTCAACTTACAACAGTTCACTTAGTGTCTGTTCAAAGTTACAATGGGACTGAAAAAAGTGACTTATGATCATTTCACAGTTGCAACCTTTGAAGCATCCCCGTGATCATATGAACAAAATTCAGATGCTTGGCAACCAGTTCATATTTATGACCATTGCTATGTCCTAAGGTCATGTGACCTTCAGACAAGCAAAGTCAATGGGTAAGCCAGATTCACTTAACAACTATGTTACTAATTATAACAACTGCAGTGATTCATTTAAGAATACAAGAAAGTCATACAATGAGGCAAAACTCTCTTTAACAAATTTCTCACTTAGTAGCATAGGTTTTGGTCTTAATTGTGGTCATACATTGAGGATTACTTGTATTAAGAAGAAGGGGGGCTATATTGAGATTAGAATAGAGTTTTCCAAAGACTTGGGGCTTCAATTTTCCTCAGCAGTCACTAATGGCAAAGGATTTTGGGAGTATAGATAAGGACAACATGCCAAAATGGATTGCACACTAAGTCTCTGAATAGACAATCACTTATGCATAGATGCAAGTCATATGGATGTGTTTTTCATCTAACCAATATGTAAGTCTTTGTCAAGCTATTTTTTTTTCAATCTGCAATCTATATTTGTGATATGAATCCATGATCAATTTTATTCCCATTTATTTAGCATGGTAATTGCCTGATGTATATTGTCCTACTATTATTATGGTTCATCCCGTAGTCAGCCAGATGTTTAGATCGGTCTTGGCATTTTTATCCCCCGATGGAGTCCTTTCCAAGGATCTGGGATAGGCAGATGTTCTTGTTTGGTGGTCTCAGGATGTAAGCTGTTCCAAGTAAAGCTGCCTTTTGCAATTGACTGATGGGGACTTTGTCAATGCCAGTTATTTATTATTTACTCCAAATTAAGTTTTTGACTCAATGGACATTAATTTAGAAAACCACAGGCAGTAATGTCATACACTTACAAACAGCTGAATAATTGAAAATTATGTAATCTAAATCAATTGATCTCAATTCTATGTCCTCCAGGTATTTTGAACCAACTTCCATTAACCCAGCCAGCATATCACCAGCTAGTGTCCTTACCTCCCTTTGAAGGATTTATTATTCTTATTTCCTTTTCCTACCCAGGTTGCTTGGCAAGTAAATCAGAAGAAAGACTTTTTCGCAAACTGTTCTCCCGTTACAACCAGTATATCAGACCTGTAGAAAATGTGTCCAATCCCGTGAAGGTGCATTTTGAAGTGGCAATTACCCAGCTTGCAAATGTGGTATGTTTGCACAATCTCACATTTCAGTCATTGACAAAGAGATCCTTAATCTAATGATTCTGATGTAGGTATGGGCCCTTCATGGAATAATGATAGCATTTGTAGATTTCTCTCCTGAGACTGGAGGTGCTGTCCCATGTGTGTAATGGAGAAATTCCTATGAAAACAGAGAAAATAGGGACCCTGTGTGTATTTGCAACTCTGTAGTAGAGCAGGGGTCTATAAAAACATTTGGACGTTTAAAGCACCTTTGCTGAGAAAGACTGTGTCAGGCTGTTCCAACTTGAGCATTTAGGAAAGAAAGACCCTCGACTCCATGATTGAAGTGAAAAGTTCACTTTTACTCAATTCAAGCGATTATGTCATAAGCAAATATTGCTTATGGGATCTTCCATGGGATCTAAATATTCCCATGGAAAGCCTGCATTTTTCCTCTCCCCTTGCCGTCCCCATTTGACCAGTCTGTCAGCGACCAATGACATTCAAACTAGATGTTTTGGGAATGGCTTTGAGGTTTGGCGCCTCTTTGGTGGAGCGGGACCATTCGCATTCCATTCTCACGGCTCCATCCTTGATTGGCCAATCTATTCCAGATTGATACCTCTGGTTCCCATCACCCTGTCATGCCCCCTCCTACCTCCCCAATCTCTGCCCCCTTCCCACATTTTATGGCAGGATGCCAGAGAAGTGGAGTATGCTGAAGATGGCAGACCTGACAGGCTGCTTTCCCTCCCTAAAATAGAGGGGAAAGGGGGCTTTGTCATTTTATATAAAGTCCAGATAGGCTGTTGCTATAAATAATGTGTATCAGGAAAAGTAAGAAATATTCCTTGCAAATGATTAAAGATCACTCATCACCAGGGACTAAAGCAGGGGTGAAATTCTACCAGTTCAGACCAGTTCACCTGAACTGGTAGTAAAAATGCTACTGGTTCACCCGAAGCAGTAGTAAAAAAAATGAAACCGGTTTGGGCAAACTGATTTTTCTGACGATCAGCTGTGACACATGATTTATATTAGCTAGAAAGCAGGAAATCCTGCTTTAAATTGCCTCCTCCTCTAAATCACGTGGCAAAGTGGATCCCCTTCCCGCTGTTTGCTTACCTTTGCAGGAGTGCTCGGTAGCAGACTCTGCCCAACCGCCCAGACATCATCATATCCATTTTTGATGTACTGTGCATGCATGGGAGGTCCTGTGCATGTGCGGTGATGCGTGCAAGCAAAGCACACTCTCTCACATTGCTACCGAACCAGTAGCAAAAGTAAGTGGATTTCACCCCTGGCCTAAAGGAGAGAAAGCATCTCTAGTGTGTCTCCAAGGTGCTTTTCCAAAAAGCAACTGGACTTTGGTGTGTGTGTTTCAGTCCATTTGTGTTTTGTAAAAGAACCTTTAGATTTCTCCTTGGAGAGCTTACTAAGGATTCATTTTTGCAGATTTTTCTTCCTCTCAGCAGATCGTTCAGGATGTCCTCTGCAATAAGACTTCCCCCTAGCAGCTCCCAGGTTATTGATTGCCTTTCCACCACAGTTTGTTATAGGTAAAGATCTTTCAACAAAAAAAGACACTCTGCAAATAATATGTTTTCTTTGGATTTCTCTGACTAGCAAGCCAGCCGCTAACCAAGGGCTAAATTACAGGGTATCAAGACTATATGATGGAACAAAATTCAGCTTCTTGCTCTGCTTATTGCTAAATCACTGTATTCAGAGGTATAATATACTAATCAGGTTCTTCACTTTATCTTTTACTTTCTCTGGAGGCTTTTCATTAATCAGAAGCTGCTGTCATTAACAAAATAATTAGAAAAGGCACTATATTCTGAGCTCCTGTGGAGCTTGCGATTATGATGAGCTTGGAATTCTGCTTGAATGAGCAGAACTGATATTGTATGAGGGTATTAAAGTACATTTAAAACTCTCTTTTTGTACCTACTAATATTGGTTCTTCCCATCATGCTTCTTTGAAAACAACCTCCTGGCCAAAATCCTGGACTTCTTTGTTCAGATAGTCCATCATGTGCATGACATCTATTCTCAAAGCTCCAGATCCCTTACAATTGTGAAAACAGAAGTGCATAATTAGTTGAAGTCACACTTCAAATACCATTGCTAGTCTCTGCTGCTTGTACAGTGTTTCTAAATGTTAATAAGACAGTATTCAATCTTCTACAAATCCCCCATGGACAACTTCAGATGAACTAGTTTGGGGTGTAAAAAGTATCAAAGTGCATGAATGGGGGACAAACAGAATTGTGTTGAATACATTTTGTGACAGATTGCCAGGAAAACAGTGGAACAGCAGGAAAAAGCTGGGACGAGGACAAGCTACTCAGGGACTGCACCCCATTCAACCAAAGCTCTACTCCTTATTTACGTGTGTTGTACTGATTACCAACTTGACTTTTTTTCAACATATCCTCATAGACAGGGGTGGTATTTATTCACCTTCCCTACCAGTTCGCAAATATGAGCACGCTCAGTCTTCTGCCCATGCGCTTTTGGCAAAAAAAAGGGCCTAAATGGGATGCCATAGAGCCAGGGCGGTGGGCAGGGCCAAATGCGATTTCCGCTACCAGTTCAGGCAAACCAAATCTCATATACAGAGCATGCAACTGATCTTTATATGGCTGTAGTTTTTGAATAAACCTTAATAAGGTTGTAGTGTTTGAATATACATTGCAACAACTATCTGGATCTACCTTAATATGCATGAATACTTTTTTCAGCATCTTGTTTTCAATCATTATAAGTAAAGTATTCACAAACATCCACAGACATTATCTGAAGGCAACACGTTTTTCCACCAAGACTTTTATTCGCTGTTCTATAAATGTCCCTAGGATCCTTTCAAAGTTATTTAGGCTAACTGGAATGAGGTTTTATCCTTTGTTAACCAGATAGTCTGTCTGTAGTAATAAAGTGTTTGCCTCCTTCTTTCTTCAGGATGAAGTCAATCAGATCATGGAGACAAATCTCTGGCTGCGACATGTAAGCAAATTTTTGTGCATTGGTGTGTCAGTATACGTGTGTGTTCATTGCCATGCTGGTTTTAGAGGTGAGATCACAGTAGGTACTGGGTTTCAGAAGAGATTTGGATAGAAAAAAAATCAGGTTACTATTTAGAGATGTTCCAGGGCTCAGTATATTCAAAGCAAAAGCTCATATATAGTACTTCAAAAACTCATCCATTTCTAGTGAAATGTTCCATTTCACTATGTTCCATTCCAGTTCCAGTCTAGTGAAGAGAAGGACCAGGGGAGATATGATAGCAGTATTCCAATATTTGAGGGGCTGTCACAGAGAGGAAGGGGTCAAGCTATTTTCCAAAGCACCTGAAGCCCAGAGAAGGAATAATGGATGGAAACTGATCAAGGAGAGACTCAACTTGGAAATAAGGAAGAACTTTCTGACAGTGAGAACAATCAACCAATGGAACTTGCTTTCAGAAGTTGTGGGAACTCCATCACTTGAGACTTTCAAGAAGAGATTGGACTGCCATTTGTCAGAAATGGTGTAGGGTCTCCTGCTTGTGCAGGGGGTTGGACTAGATGACCAACTCTGTTAATCTGTTAATCAATATTAAGCCCTTGATTTAATGGGCAGACAAGGGAAATGGGTAATCCTTAAAGCAAAAGGTCCATTTAGTGATGAATGAGAAGAGAACAACAGAAAAGGGAGGGCAGGAATTAAAGTCACAGCCAGGGAAAAGGGGCAACACTGTTTGAGGGCTAGTACTATGATTAAAAGTATAAATACACCTGAAAATGAACTATAGGCAAGAAAATCCTTAGAGATTGGATATCATATCTTGGGAGCATTTGGGTCAGAACCATCACCATAGTTCACAAACCAGATTCAGCAAACAGCTAGAAGAGCTTTCAGAGGCAACAATAATATTAGTGGAGGAAATATTCCTTCTTATTCAGGAGATTTGATCCATTAACTCCAAGTCTGCTAACCAAAGTAAACCAAAGTAAACCAAATTGAGTCTTCACTATATTTTTAGTGGACTATTAGATAAGAAGAAGAAAACAAAGGAGGGGAGTTATTACCTTGAAACTGATTCCCAATCTCATAAGTTCATAAGAAAGGCAACTTCAGTAATGTTCTTAGTATGAGAATAACTTTACAGGTACAGTACATCCTAGGGTTGAACACTTATTATTTCTCTCTTTAGATTTGGAATGATTATAAATTGAAATGGAATCCAGTGGAGTTTGGTGGAATTGAATTTATCCATGTGCCATCAGACAAAATTTGGAAACCTGATATTGTGCTATACAATAAGTATGAACATTCATCATAATATTTTAGTCATATTAACACATTTATTCTGAGTTAGAAGTGTACAACTTAAGATTCCCTTGTGCTTGCATCTGCAGTGCTGTCGGAGACTTCCAGGTTGAAGGACGGACCAAGGCTCTTCTCAGATATGATGGCACCATCACCTGGATACCACCTGCCATTTTTAAAAGCTCCTGTCCTATGGATATTACCTTCTTCCCCTTTGATCACCAGAACTGCTCCTTAAAATTTGGATCGTGGACATATGACAAAGCCAAGATAGATCTTTTGATTATTGGTTCCAAAGTGGACATGAAAGACCTTTGGGAGAACAACGAATGGGAAATAGTTGATGCTTCTGGCTATAAACATGACATAAAGTACAACTGCTGTGAGGAAATCTATACGGATATAACCTACTCTTTTTATATCCGAAGGCTCCCCATGTTTTACACTATTAATCTGATTATACCTTGCCTGTTTCTTTCATTCCTGACTGTATTCGTATTTTACCTTCCATCAGACTGTGGAGAGAAAGTAACACTTTGCATCTCTGTCCTCCTTTCATTGACTGTTTTCTTGCTGGTAATTACAGAGACAATTCCCTCAACTTCTTTGGTCATCCCACTAGTGGGAGAATACTTGCTTTTCACCATGATATTTGTGACACTCTCTATTGTGGTGACAGTCTTTGTACTGAATATCCATTACCGGACTCCAACAATGCATACAATGCCCAACTGGGTCAAAACTGTCTTCCTTGGTCTTCTGCCCAAGTTTCTGATGATGAAGAGACCCATACAGAAGCATGTTGACTCCCAACCCCCCAAACCTGTGAAAGAAAGCATCACTAAACCCAGTAAGCCCAAGGCTGATGAGCTTGCAGAAGTGGAAGTCCTCAGTGAGAACCGCTGCTGCCACTGTGACAACTCCAAGGACACAGTGGCAAGGAAGCAAAGGAGACAGAATTGCCAATCTGCCAAAGGGGAGGCTGAATCAGTCGAGTATTCCCCAGAGGTTAAAGAAGTCATTAACAGTGTTCAGTTCATCGCAGAAAACATGAGGAGTCAGAATGAAACTAAAGAGGTAAGAGCTCTGAAGAACAAGATTGATTGATTACTAGCTCCAAAGGCTTCAGTCATTTGGGGGCATTTCTCTAATTGCGCTAGAAAACTAAAACCTAGCTAGTTGAAAATAACTGCACCTGAGAGCTGGAGAGGTACAATTGCGCAGCACTTCTAGCATGAATGGGTAAGAGGCTGTCCAATGGAGCTATTTAAGCAGCATCAGAAGTGTTAAGTCCTGCTAGAACATGGGTGTCAAACTCTATCGTGTCATGTGATGTATCACGACATATCATGACTTTTTTGCCTTTACGGAGCCGTGGTGGGAGCGGCCTATGTGTGACACATCTAGCCCACGGGCCACCAGTTTGACACCCCTGTGCTAGAAGAAGTGGAATTGGTAGGACATTCTGTTCTGGTTTTCAGTTTCCTCTAGCAACAGACAGGACAAAAGGGACCTCGTGTTAGCTGTGTCTCAATTACCAGAGACACAATTTCAGGGATTGCCCTGAATGCGGTTCAATTGATCAACAGAAGTTCTCCAGAGCTTTAGAAAAAAGAACCTTTTCATTGGAGATTATTGTGGCTTGAACATGAAGCCTTCTGTGAGCGAAACATGTCCTCTACCATTAAGCCATGATAATAGACACAACTGTCTCTTGCATTGTTTAGCCATGATCATCTAGGAGTTAACAGCAGAGTAAACACAATTGTAGAAAAGGTAGACCAACTGATTCTACATTCCAATTGTAAGGGAGAAGGAAAATCATAGCTGAGATCTAACTATGTGCAGACTGACGTAGCATAATGCTAGGTTAATACAACTAACACAAGGAAAATGAAAACCGACTGCATATAGAGCACCCAAGGAAGTGTTTGAGAACCGCTTTGCAAAATATTGAGTGTTTGTATCTCCTTGCCAGGCTTTTCACTCCTTACTTACTCCATGCTTCCTTTTTGGGACGCCAAAGCATAATAAAGGCTCTGTGAAGGTTCTTGCTCCTTCTTCCTTTCATTGCTCATTCTCTTCAAAGAGATAGATGAATAGGCAACAATGCAAGAAGGAGAAAGAAGGAGTAGTGTTTCCAGGGTTGGCATTGGTCTCCTACTGAGTTATGGGACTTGATAGATGCCCAGCTGTCCCAAACCAGATGCCCTCCAAATTTGATGACTTGTGAATTCTAGCAGCAGGAGAACAGCTATGGTAGCTGAAGTTCAGGACAACAGGCTGAGAAACACTAATCAAGAGCAAAGAGGGATAGATAGTTGAAAGAGGCAAATTAGCCAAGTATCTTCATGTACAGTGATACCTCAGTGTTTGCTTCAAAACTCTTTGAATTTGGTACTTGATGCATTTTGATGTGAAAATGTTGTTCTGGTAAAGTTAAAGATAAAGGTTCCCCTCTCACGTATGTGCTAGTCGTTCCCAACTCAGTGCTCATCTCCGTTACAAAGCCTGTTCCAAAGTGCTGTCCCAGCGCTGTCCGAAGACGTCTCCATGGTCATGTGGCTGGCATGACTAAACGCCAAAGGCACACTGAACGCTGTTACCTTTCCACCAAAGGTGGTCTCCATTTTTTCTACTTGCATTTTTATGTGCTTTTGAACTGCTAGATTGGCAGAAGCTGGGACAAGTAACGGGAGCTCACTCCGTTACATGGCGCTAGGAATTCGAACTGCTGAACTGCTGACCTTTCTAATCAACAAGCTCAGCGTCTTAGCCACTGAGCCACAGTGTCCCTTTGTTTGTTTGGTATTCACCACCCTGAAATAAGAAAAGTAGGACGGCGACAGAGAATAGACAAGAAGTCAGCCATGGTGGGAAGGTCACTGATATAGGAAAAGAGACAGACAGGAAGTTCTTCCTTACCCCAAACCAACTGTCACATGGTAAAACAGTGGTTTTTTGGCACTCATCATGTTTAGTACTCATCACACCTCTTGGAACCAATAGGAGGTACCACTGTATATCCTTTGCTGGGCCTTTTGCTAATCAAAATACTTTTGACACTATGTTCACATTAACTGGAAAAGGGTACAATGGCTTTTAAAGTGAACTTCAGCAGTTGTGCTAATGGCTTTGGTTACTTCAATGTATAAATATTTCATGTTGGGAGGCTCTCTGACTTTGGCAATAAGGCTCTAAATAGACATATAGAAGCTCTAAGACAGAGGCCCTGATCCCAAGTTGGCATTTGATCAATGAACATCTATTGAATTCTACAGGCTCTGCTGATGTGCAGAAACATAGAAGATATTTTGAAAAATAGCCAAGCACGTATACAGGATCCAAACTGCAGTGTTATAGCTAAGCCTAGGTAACTGTGGCAATCAGAGGTTCAGAGAATAGAGCCTCCAAAATATAAATCTTGGTGGAAAACTTCCTAGTGCAGAAATGAAAGCATCTGGCTTTCGGTCCTAAAAGAAGACATGTTGACTGTATTATATTTTTATTGAATAGAAGGCCAGAGGCATGATAGTAACTAAGAAGAAGGATTGTCTCAATTTTAGTTTTGGAAAGGAATATGATTTTGACTTACTTGATAAATGCAGACATCAAAATATTTCTCACATCACTTACTTTCCTTACCAGCTTGCAAAGGTGAGTGTTTGTGTGTGCGCGCTCACACAAATGTGTGTGCGCATACACACACAGTGATTTATGTACCAGGATAGATAGGTGGGTAGGTAGGTAGGTAGGTAGGTAGGTAGGTAGGTAGGTAGGTAGGTAGGTAGGTATAGAGATAGATAGACAGACA